AGCCTAAATCCTAGTAATATGCATGCTAATAAGCAGTTAGTTAACATGCAGATAATATATATATATATATATAAATACCAAATAAGTGTCCCTAGTGTTTTTTTTTTTTTTTGCATTAGTTTTATGTTTTATACAATAGTTAATTTTACTATTCATATGACATTTTAAAGATGAAGTATGACATTTCTGTGCCACTAGCATTGGCAAGCAAAATTGCAAAAATAATGATAGTTTTTAATCAGATTAACCCGGACACTCGTCCCATCTGCCATTGGTTGGTGAAAAAAAGATAGTCCCGCCCCAAAGTCACAGAGCCATCGTTGCTTGTGTTGAGATGCTCTAACAATGTTGCTTTTTGGAGAAACTTCACTTATGAATTACTAAATTTGAAAGAAAATATTTTAGCATCTAAGAAAAATGACACATTACCTTTTAATAATTTGCATGTTGTTTAGCCTTTGCAGTTTGTCGTAATATCACGTCCAATATCAAATCTGGTTTGTGAAGCAAAACCAGTTGAGAACCACTCATCACAAAATGGCACCCTCTCTAACCTAATGATTACTTGTTTATATGAGGCTTCTTTTCAGCTTGTTTTACTTGTCGGCTATACCATATTGTTGTGATACGCTCTTCAAAGCGTGCACAATCCAGTTTGCCAACTCAAAAGTTACTTTCCCGGCATCCTTTAGAATATAATATTTCCAAAACTGGAAAAAAGTGATGCCCTATAGTGTTTCTCCAGTTTTAAGCCTGTTTGGGAGATGCGATTGAGCAATCCAGCAGTGTGAAATCGTATCCGGTCCTGGTTCTGTAATCATTCTCTTAGACTCTTGTTAAATGGTTTACTTGCCACTTTTGGCGGCATTTGCTGAAGATAGCAAAGGCATAAAGACTGGCCGTGATCGGATTAACCATGCAACAGCATGATGTAACTCTTTGTTTGTGTGGTATGTGTTCTATGTATGTCACATACGCACTAAACTCACGATTTATGCTGCTTGTGACCAGTGTGTGAAAAGCCAGAGAGTTGCTTATAGTAGATACAATGTTTTCATGGGTCTCTGTCCTCGGGATTACTGATTTCTGCCAATATGACTAGTCATTGTGAAAGAGAAAGTTGATTAATAATGCAATTAAAATGCATGGTGATGTCTTTTTTTATTTTTCATTCTGAATTTCAGATTTTGATATATCCACAACCTTTCGAGCATGTTTTTGCTCAAAGTGGCTGTCCGGCACACATTAACCAGTGTTATTTTAGTATTTGTATATATTGTTATAGTTTATATATTTTTTTTAATGTGTTATAAGCTTTTATTTTTTTTAATTTAAATTTGTATTTAATTTTTTGTAAATTTATGTACTTTTGTCACTTTTTTTTTTTTTTTTATCATTTCATTTTTAAATTTCTAGCTAGTAATTTTAGCACTTCAACTTATTTGCCATTAAGGCACCCTTTCTACAACATATAATATTTATTTTTTATTTTATTTCAGTTTTTTTTTTCAATCAACAAAAATGTTTTTAATAGTTAAATTTTAATAACCCTGACATGATCCACACATTTCCTCCTGTAATGCTCAGCATTCGGCATAGAAAGTTTCCAGTTGAAGGCTGCGCGCTTGCAGTGCTTATCTGTGCAAGATGTTTCAGTTTACATTTCGTGTTGTTGTGGGTTGACAGCTGTGACCATAGCAAGCCCTATTTCGCCTCTGTGTTCGAAAGAAGAAGAAATGTCTGCATTTTACTGGAGGTTTAGATGCTTGTTTATCACTTTTAAATACCATCATCTTTGCCGAAATCCCCTCTCAAAAGAACCTTTCACTTGCTGGAATAAATTCAAATTAAAATTTAAATCCCTCTTTGCATTCCTTCAGCCTCTTTTAAAATAGCTGGCTCCTTTTAGAAAGCTGTTTATGTAGTGATCTCTTCATAATCCAGTTTGTTTCTCAACAGCAAAAAAAAAAAAAAAAAAAGAAACACTGAAATCGTATTATCAGTGTCTTGGAGAGATGATGCGAGAAGTCAGAGAGACTCTGTATCTGGGGTGGGGGTGAGTTTTCAAAGTACTAAATCTGAGAAACGTCGCAAATGCTCTTTGATGGAGTACTTTGATGGAACACGTGCATTTGACTTGCAAATGCTAATAGTACATTGTATCGCCCGAACTCTGATGTATCTGATGCTTTTGTTGCGTTACCGCACAAGCGCGACAAAGCCGAGCCTAACCAAATAGGTGAAATATATACCTGTACTTTGGCTTGGGATCTGAACTTGTGCCATTATGATTCAAACATCTCCAGTCACCTCGGCGTTCATCTTTTCAGTCTAGTTCTCCTGTATTAGGCTCCATTCTGTTTGGAAATACTGTCGAAGCGTATTTCAAACAAACAAATCAACACTGTCAGGATCCCGACCTGTTTTTTCCCTGCTCTCTTCAGATGTATTCAGTTGGCTGTTGAAAGGACAAATAACATGGAAGACCTTATTAAGGTTTTCTTTGAGCACGCTAGATTGGATTTATTGTTAGCGAACAAATTATAATTGTATCTCCTGAAAAGTTAGCAAAGATCTAAACAAAGGGAAATCAATGGCACAGGCCGATTAATCACACCAAGCGGGCTACTTGTGCCGAAGAAACTTACCTCATAATCAATGTCTTTGTTTTGCTCAAAGGGCATTTGCATGCTGATTCAGTGTGCCATATTGGATGCAATCAAAACATTGTCATCCACATTAATAAGAGGGTTATTTGGACTCTCAAGTATGCCACTGAATAGCGCGGGCTCAACACGCCATTGTAGCGCTCCAGTATTAAAGACCAATCTCGACGTGATAGAAAGACACAGTTTGTTAGAAGAGTTTTTAATATCACGGATATATTGCGCATGTAAAATGCTGTACAATATGTCTAAGACAGATTAACCTCTGCTATTGCAAAGTTGAGGAATCAGTAAATCCCACAGTAAAGAAAATCTTATCCCATCCCACACAGTCAACATCAAAGTATACTCATTTACATTCGGTAATCCTTGACGTCCACTGTGCTCGCTTCCTCTTGTGTTTTTATTTATTGTTTTTAAAGAGGTGAGGAAGGTTGCTATAGGGAAATTGTATTGTTAGATCATGCATATTAATATTGATCATGTGATAACATTTGCAGAAACTTACCTTTTTCTAATTTGTCTGGCTCTGTTCCAAATCCTAGTGAGCTGACTACCTAGACGGGAGCTAAATCATGCTGCCTTCGAAGATATCTCATTTTAGTTCAGGGAGAAGGCAATCCCATAATGCATTGCGACAAACTCTGTGAAAAAAATGTAACCAAGATGGTGGACAATGTGAGAGAAATATGAATATGAAATATGTGAAAATGTGCAGATGTTGAGTAGAAATGTGGGTGAAACATTACGTGAAGCCTTTAAATAAAAAGGCTTTTTTTTTGGTAATGGATTAATTATGCCTCACAATGCATTGTATGAACAATTGTAACCACATACGCATCTATTCATTAACACCTTTAGAAAGTATAATGCATTAAAACACACGACAAACAACCAATTTTAGATGTAACAAGAATCTGCAATTATTATAAGGCTTTTTAACTTTGGCTACACTTATTTATGAAAAGGTATGCATTACAAAGTACATTATGGATACCTCTATAATGTATAAAGGCTATACCATTTTGAAATTAAAATTGAAATACACTTTATTGTCCCCAATGGGAAAATATGGTGTGGAGTATTCAGCATTTCTACATCACCTGTTACTCTTACAAACTCCCAGAATACAATACAACACAATTGGGTTGCACTTCATTTCGATGGTCCACTTTAGAGATTCTAATAACTATAAGTAACTTTGCAACTACATGTAACTAGCAGTCATAGAGTATCAGTAGACTGTCTTCTTAATATCTGATAACACTTTATTTTGATAAACAGACATTCTACTGACTATGCAACAACATGTCAACTTATTCTGCTAACCCAAACCTTAACACAAACCCTAACTAACAGTCTACTACAGTCTACTAATACTCTAATGAGAGTTAGTTAACATGTAGTTGCAAAGTTACTTATAGTTAGTAGAATGTCTAAAGTGGACCATCGAAATTAAATGTTTCTCACAAGACAAACACAGAACGCATACACATAAAATACACAATTTAATCAATGCAGGTACAAATGAGTTTTTCAACCTATTCAATTTACATCGTGGGATTCTATATCATCTTCCAGCAGGTCACAGTTCATAACTACAGTTCATAACAAGTATAAAGCTAGTTTCATATCAGTTCGTATTATAAATGTTTACTTTAGATTTCACAGTGAGGTTTCTGTACCAATATTTGAGTATTATGTGTATTGTTTATAGTGTCAGGCTGTATTAGCAGCATGCTAACATCAAATGTCAGTGTTTGAACCCTGCAATTCACACGAAGAGCGTTATTTGAGTGGTGCACTACATTTTTACAGTATAATCTTGCAAATCAAACCCTTATGAGGTTCTATTTCTGTTAGGATGCATCCCACTAGGATTTTTATCAGAGCTACTGATCACGATCATGGAATGATCTGTATGACTACCTATTGGATTAGTTTATCCAATTTTTGGTTCATGGCTTTATTACAAGTGTTCTTAAGCCTCAATGATAATTTTGTGTGAGAAACGACCTGAAATTCATGTTGCTATTTTCTGATAATCTTTCCTTCCAATAAAAAAGAAAAAGAAAAAAAATATATATTATTGATTAATTCTTTTGTGTTTCACAGAAGAAAGTAAGTCATCCATGTTTGGAACGACAAGAGGGGTGAGTAAATAATGACCATTTAAATTCTTGGGTGAGCTATTCCTTGATTTTTCAGTTATTTTGGGCAGATGTGTCACACAATGGAGTATTCCTGCATTGCATCTAGACTGAATTTGGATTTCTGTTACACAAATATGAGTGCACATCTGCTATTCTGCCCACAGGTCCATGGAGGCACCTAGGAGGCACCTAGTTAGGAAGGCATAGATAATCACTTCAGGCGATGCTGGAGACCACCTTGTTAACCAGGTCCATAGCAACACACCGCATACATCCCTGGAGGACTTTAGGTTATTGCACTTGTGAGTCCTATATTTTAAAACCTTATAGATTCCAAGAAGCGAACCTCGAATCCAAAACGCAGGAGTCAGTGTCACTGACATTTTCATACATATCCAATGATCTGCGAATTATTTTAATCCGATCAAGCTGTTCTCCAGGTATTGGTTGGCATCCTATAATTAGCATTTGCTCAGGACGCTCATGCTTTGATTGAGAAAGCAGGCATGGACAGGTGAGTCTCTCTCACAGGTGTTTTTAAACCATTTGACACACTATCAGTGGACACAGATGGACTCCATTCCACTTATTATGCGCCTTGTTAAGACAATTTGCTGCACCTGAGCAAAGCGGAGTTTGTCATGACAATGGCGCTGTGTGTGATACATTTCTTTTTAGGCCTTTATAGTTCACCCGAAATGAAAATGCTCTCATTTACTCTCCCTCGTGTTGTTTCAAATCTCAACTTTATTTTTTTTTGCGTAAAACTCAAAAGGACACATTTTGAAGAATGTTCATGCTGCTCATGCAATCAAAATGGATGGGGGGCTGGAGCTGTTGAGGTACCAAAATGAGAAAAAAGCAGCATAAAATTAGTAAATTAGTCCATAAAACCTGGGCTGTAGTTCAGGGGTTTTCAAACCCGGGTCCAGGGACCCCCCAGGGGGCCACAAAAGTGTGTTTTTTATGGCTGTAAAACTGCATTTTGTGACAAATGCTATACAAATATTACATTTATTTGATCAAAAGTAAAACTGTAATATTGTGAAATATTAATATAATTTTAAATAACTGGTTTTTATGTGAAATTGTTATTAAATGTAATTTATTTCTGAGATGCAAAGCTGAATTTTCAGCATCATTACTCCAGTCTTCAGTGTCACATGATCCTTCAGAAATCATTCTTAATATGATGATTTACCGCTCAAGAAACGTTTCTGATTATTATCAATTTTGTAAACAGCCGTGATGCTTTTTTTGTGGAAACCGTGATACATTTTTTTCAGAATTCTTTAATAAAAGCATTTATTTATTATAGAAATCTATTATTTATAACATTATAAATCTCTTTACTGTAACTTTTGATCAATTTAATGCATCCTTACTGAAAAGTAAAAAAATAAATCTTACTAAAATTCAAAGTCAATATTTTCTCTATAATATTTTAATAATTAGTTTGCTTCAGTACAGTACCAATATAAAAGCCTTTTTTATCAAGCTTTTTTCCCCCACAATATAAGCCTAGCTGTCTTAATTTTCATAAAAAAAATCCCAGGTCTATGTTTCAAATCTTTATTTTTATTTTTTTAAATGTATTCACTAAAAATCTAAAAATCGCTCCACAGGTCTTGTAGCCAATCACAAAACGTTAAGTATGAATATGCCGAAGCATCAATTAAATTTGTCAACTATAGTGGATGTAAAAAGTTATTGAAGATTTTCACTGTTGATAATTTCTGAAGATAATTTCATCTGTTTCTCACACCAAGCTATTGAATGACTTCAAGTGATATGAAATACAGTGCACGCGTCATAAAAACTAAATTTATGGTGCAATTTTGTTCTTTTTAGAGCCTTTTTGACAGCCCTTGGTCGCTATATGCTTCAGCTGCATGGAACAGAGAAGTGCGAATCTCCTTTTGTGTTCCACACAAGAAAGAAAGCCATACTTGTTTTTGAACAACATGAGGGTGAGTAAATAACATAATTCTCTTTTTTCATCAACTATTAGGTGCTAATAGGCCAACGAAAGATGTCCACGTTGTTGTCGCATATATTTTTTGAGCTCACTGGATTAGAGCTCTGTAATTGAGCTCTCAAAATGTTTGGAACAATCTTCAAAATACTGCAGTAAATGTGGCACAGTAAGCATTTCTATCTAAAGTATAGAGTTATTTGTCATAGCGCGTGTAGGATTGACTAAGGCACATAAACAACAGGTTCCAGATGCATTTAACTTTGCTTACATAATTGGCGGACTAATGCAAAAAGCTTTTAGACATTATGTGTGACCCAGTGTGATACTTTTATAAACGCAATCAAACATTTTCTCCAAACATGCAGTGTACTTTAAAAAACGCAGACCTTTGTGTGACATGTCATTTCATTTCGCCCACTTTAGCTCTAATTTTCCCTCTAATATACACCTATTGTGGCATGTTTTTTTTTTTATGAAACCCCAAATCAAACACCCAGAATGCACTTTTATTCACTTCCTGATGCTCTGGACCGCACGCCCTCGATGGAAGAGTATGTGCACCATTAAATATTATACTTTCAGCAGCAGAATATTCAAGTGCAAGGATTTTCTTTGTTTCATGTCCACTGATGTTTCGATTCATCAAGACTGTTGTAACAAAGCTGATCCCTTTTAAAACTTATTTGTGTGTCGTGTTCTTTTCTTTCGCCAGCTGTCTCGGCACATTACGAGAGATCAGCGACGTCTTGACCGAATGCACTGGAAATCAGATTGCCCGGTCTTTGGATCTTCGAGAACACCCGAGACAGGTTTTCCATTAAGTAAGACGCTTGTAGCGACAACTCCTCACTTGTGTTGCGGGAGATTACGGAAGAAAGAAACATGTAGTTTAATGTTGTAAGTGCGTCCGACGGCCACGCAATCTGTCCCCTCACACATATAGAAGTGACAAACCTCCCCGAAAGCAGTTGCGGAATTAGACTTTCAAATGAAATCTACAACAAGATCAACCGCCAAACCTTTTGTAATGACTTGCCCTTCTGTCTCTGTTCCTCAAAATTCACGCTCGGCTGATGAAAAACTCGCCGGACATTGTGCTTGCGCCTTATCCTCTTGAGAGAAGAACAAAACAGATATGAGCTTTCTCTGAACCCGAGGAAGGAGGGTGTTGAAAGGGTCTTGGCAGGGATATACGCGCGCACGCACACATGCGGAGACGCGTCAGATGGGAGCATCTTGTGGGCCCCTCACTCATTTTGAGGACTTGGCCATGGGCGTCCCCCCTCAAACCCTCTCCTCGCCCTCCAGAAGTGTGGCGCTCTTTGTCATTGTAATCCGGACTCTATTTGTTAAAGGCTCACTCGCTGTTTGCTCTCGCCGATGGGTGTACATTTGCACGCGTGTGTATTTACAAAAGTCAGCGGGCTGAAGGAGTGCCGTGACATCATTGCCGCTGGGTTTTTTATTGTCACACCCTGTAAATGCGGTGTCCTCCAGACGGCCCCCCTCACCCAACCTTTCTCAAAAGTGATAGTCTACAGGGAGAAATTACACCTCATCAATCCAGTAATTACTAGTCCTGCTTCTCTAAGTCACCAAACAACATCAAACCCATGGGCCATTATTTACAAAACGAGTGACATTTGTGTCTCTGTATGATATAGCCCGTTTTAGGATAGCTGATGCCTCTAAGGTAAAGCTTTAAACATATGTGTTAAATGTATCAGTCAAAATCAAGCAACTTTTTTTTTCATGATTTATTTCAAATATTATTTTGTACGATTCCCCCTCCCCCACATCCTTGATAAATTAGCAAATGTCCACATTTATATGGAAACAATTTATGTGGAAATAAAGTTTGTTTAGATGTTTTTTTTCACATTTTTACAATTTAGATTACATAATGTATTATTTAAACAATTGATTATTAGTGCTGTCGGATCGATTAATCACGATTAATCACGTCTAACATAAAAGTTTGTTTATATAATATATTTGTGTGTATATATACATTATATACAGTGTGTGTGTATATATATATATATATATATATAATATATACACACACACACATTATATAAACAAACTTTTATGTTAGATGCGATTAATCGTGATTAATCGATCTGACAGCACTATTGATTATAAAAATAAACTTTTGTTGTTATATTTGTCAGAAGAGGACAATTTGTTTCATAGACCTTATGCACCAGAGAAACAAGACCTTTAGAATTTTCTGCTTTGTATATTTCTACGGCATCGCTGTTAAAGAGTAATTTGCTGGAGTAATTAGTGGATTTACTTATTGTAGAGTTAACGAAAGTTATCATGAGAATTGTAATATTTGAAGTGGATGTCATAACAGATGTTAGTTGACCGAGGGGTTCATTCATAAATCTGTAAGATCTTACCTTCATGCTGTGAAAATGCAAACCGGAAGGCAGAACACAACGAGCGCAGCGCTGAAAAGAGGCGGGGCTACATAAGCTCTATAGGATTATAATAAACGTGATCATTGAAAAGTTTGAGAAATATCAGCATTTAATGTCTTGTAAGGTCAAATTTAATGGTAAAACTGCCTTTATCTCTTTAAAAGCATAATTATGTCCAATGCAATTTATCAACACATCATTAATATGAAAGTAAATTACACACATTTTATGAGTAAAAATGTATTTTATGTTATATACACTTTTAAAATGATTTATTAAAAAAGAAAGCCTGGAAAAGGCACCCCTTTCATATAAACTCTATACACTAATCTTAAAATGTCAACCATGTTACTAATATTTTTATTAGTAATAATAGTGAATATTTGTGAACTCTTCATAATTTTTCAGTTTGTCAGTATATCCACTTGTGTGGTAACTCGTAATTATTTGTACGATTTGCTGAAATTATATGAGATTTTACAATTTGGATTATACTAAAACTTTTATAGTTCCTTCTCCTCATTATAATTTTGGTTTTGAGGTTTAAAACCAGGGGTTACATTAGGGTTAAGGCTTTATGGTTGGTCTAGGCTTAGATTTGGTATCTCTAGCAAATTGTTACGTCTTCCAGTGAGACCGTGCTGGAAATATCAGCATAAGATTCTAATTCTAAGAAGTACCTTTTAGTTGCACAAGGCTTGTAAAGTCAACTGGGAAGCTGTTTCCGTCAACCTCTCTGAAAGCGTTATTATGCCTGAATATATATAAAATTGTATCATAGTCACCAATGCACTTTTTTTTTTTTTATTCATGTGCCCTCATAATCTTTAGTCAAAGTAACTTTCACTCCTTCTTGCAGCATCATCTTCTCTCTTCTCTGATGATGTGTTTACTGGCACGGGGGCGGGGCAACCTGTCACTCACATGAGATCGACCAATAGCAAACCACAACCATCCAATGAATCAATCAGTTCCTGATGAACAAAATGAAGCCCCAACCAACATTTTTCTTGTTTGAGCAGCCAAATATGTCACAATAATAACCTACGTTTCATGCCGACTTTAACGCGGCAATTTATTAACACTAAAACGCATCATTTATCTGATTAATAATTCACAATCTCACAAAATTAATGTTAAAAATCACCTCATCCGTTTCACAGAATGACCCGGCAGCACTCGTGCAATACGTAATAGCATAAACCTGGGGTAAGACTAATTTCAGAAAGGGCATGGAGTGCAAATAAGGAAAAAACATCCACCAGGCCGACCTCTCATTACATATACTTCTGCTTGTTGTTTCCGTAGCAATAAAGTGGCAGACATTGGAACTGGTCTGTTGAGCCATTGTTATCATCTCTGACCATCTGCTACCGAAGGCTGACATTCCATCTCATTTGCATGGTAACTGATATGGGGGGAGGAGAGATTGTGGGTGGAGTGGGATGGGGTAAAGGGGGGGGTGTTTGGAAGGACATATGCCCAAACCCCCATCACAACAATATATACGTGAAAGTTTAGCTTTTTAAGGGACGCAATTCAACGCAAACACGCACCTGCATGCACATGTTAGGAAGAGCAGGATAAATCAGTGTGTGCATGTGGAGAGAAAAAAAAACTGTCTGTTCCTCCCCTCTGTGCGCCGGTTTTTATGTTTTGCGGATGTGGGAGTGGAGTGAAGTGTGTGTGTGTGTGTGTGTGGTAGTGGAGGGGTTGCTGTTGATGTGCAAATGTGCATCATATTGAGAGCTTGTGAATAGGGAGGTGTGACGTAGAAAGAGAGCAGAACGCAGGTGCTTATCTCGGGGCTGTCACAGACATAGTGTGTCATATTCCTGGGGACTACCTTTCAAAAGCTACCGGCTCCAGCGCTAGAGCATCAGCCGAGCAGGGACCACACAATCCGCAGCTAACTTTCAGCAGCAGTCAAGTAGGTTGGTGCTACGCTCGTTTTTTGTTTTCTTTTTTTCTTATGTGACAGTAGCTGTAGCCGTCTGTGGTCGGTGTTTGGGTATCAAATCGAGCTGTTTGTCTTTGAACTGACAGGATGTGTTGCTGTTGACAGCTTAGTACAAAAGAAAAGTTTTGAATGGGAATTAGAATTTAGAACTGTTACATTTACTTAATCTTTTATTTAATAAAAGATACGTTTTTTTAATTTATTGTTTTAAAAAGTAAAATACAGATTTTTTTTCTCTCTAGCTTTTATTGTATTTTTAATTTATTTTTTACTTTCTTGAGATTAGCTTTATTGTTCGCTGAAAGCGACTTCTGTTCGCTCTAGGATTCAGAGGGCGCAAGGGCAGATTAGACAGCTCAAACTGTGTATTTGAAGAAGAATGACCTATTTTTAATCACACAGATAACAGTAGATGTTGTCTACCTAAATGAAAGTCCCTGTGCGTGTGCCGGAGGGTTTAAGCGAGTCTTAGACGTGTTAGCATTGTGTGTTAGCACAAAGCTTGGGCTTTCGGTACAGCAGCTGAGCACACACAGCCCTTCCTGTCTTTCATCTCAAACTTTCAGGCTTTAGGCTGCGTTAACACTGCCTTCTATCCTGCTGTCTTTAGGTCGTACAGCGTTTGGTTTCGGTTTGGTTTTTAGCAGTTTCCACCTGGAAAGCAAGCTCAGATCTGTGTTCATGTGGCGTCATGGATAAAACAGACTTCAGCATTGTGTTTTTTACGTTTGAAACTTTAAGATGAGCTAAAACTGGATGTGTGCATGAAGGAAATTTTAATTCTTAGAAATGAATAGTGTTTATGTCGTGCATCATTGCAATGGCATTTTATAAAGCAGTTATTTGAGTACACTTTAACTTCACATGTGAGCTGAATTTTCTAAATTGAAATTTAATTCTGGAGTCACGGCCATGTCAACAGGTTCATTTTCCATTGATACGTTTCATTGCTGTTGATGAACACTTTCAATACAAGAACTTAAAACACCTAGTTTAGTGAATGTTTTGTTATCTAAAATTAGCCAAAGCATTTTTAACAAATGAATCATCATATTACCGCACTGTGGTTATTACATTGATTTGTATGCAGTTTTGTACTGTACTATGTAAAGACAATCTTTGTAAAATAATATTTTAGTGAAAATGCCGGTATTTTGTTAATCTAACAGAACATTTAACTAAAAAGTACAGTAGTTTTGTTTGTTTAAAGCCAAAATCTCGAATAAATCAGATTACGTGCTTCACCTTTTATTATTTCTCTATTCGTTTTGTCATTCACCACTACTAAAGCAAAGTCAACAGAATTGTTTCACTTAAGCCAGCTGAACGATGTCTTATCTTCTACTGTCAGGCTCATTACAGGAGCGCAACAGTTTCATCCAGTCGTGTGAGAGATCAGGGAACTGTCCATGGTGCTACTCAGCAAACTGGT